AAATGGTTTGATTAAGAGAAACATGGTTCAGCGTGGGTGTTCTTATCTTGAACGGATGTTGGAAGATGGTTTCAAACCTGATAGGGTTCTGTACAACACTTTCATTAGCCAGTTCTGTCGAAGAGGTGAGATTGGTGTGGCCTTGAGCTTTGTTGATCAGATGATTAAAAACCAGATTGAGCCTAATTTGATCACTTATGGATCTCTTATAAGCGGGGTTTGCCGAAATATCTCACGTAAGGTGCGGCAGCACCCCATACCAATTTCCCGTGCCAAAAGGAATGAAGATGCGAGAAAAATGCTCTTTAATCTGCTCCCTCAAAAGACTATGGAGCCCTCAAGACTTGAGCAACGGTTTTCGTGCAATTCTTTTGTGGAAAAGATTGAGCTGGCTCTAAGTTTGATGCGAGATATGATAGATGATGGGCTGATGCCTGATTTACATATTTACAATGGGATGATTAATGGGTTTTGCAGGGCTGACATGATGGGAAATGCCTATGACCTTCTTGATTTGATGCTTCAAAATGGGGTGCACCCTAATCAAGTGACGTATAACATACTTATCAATGGCCACAGCATGCATGGTGAAATTGATCTTGCCATTAAGTTATTCAATCAAATGGCTATGGATGGGTATCCCCCTGATAAGGTTACATATAATGCACTTCTTAAAGGCCTTTGCTTGGCGGGAAGAATAGTGGATGCTTTATCGCTCACACTCACAATGTATAAGAAGGGTTTTGTTCCCAATAAGATTTCCTATGAGCGACTACTTGACCTCCTCTCTGTTAATGGTGCAATTGATCTGGCTTTCAATCTGTTTCAAGAAATGCTTATGCATGGTTGTGCCCCATGTAAGTATAACTTCAACAGATTGATCTGCCTTCTCTGTGAAGAAAATAGATTAAGGGAAGCCCATTTTGTTTTCGACGCTATGCTTAAAAGGGGAAAACTCCCAGAGGAATCGACTAAGACCCAGTTGATAGAAGCATGCTACATGCAAAGAGAGTTTGAGATGGCTTTTATGATCGAGGAAAATATGCTTGTTTACGAGGCCTAATTTTTACATTTGTTGGAGGTGCTGATCTAACTTGCTGGACCTCAATCTGTGACAATGTCCATATTCTCCTCAAGGTGTTTTTCATTCTATTTCCCAAGTCACAAAATATTATAACCTGAAATGATAAATATAGAAGGTTGAAAATTGGGTGACTAATCAGTGCTTATATTCCTGACAGGACTTGCGTTTAGAAACAGATGCTTGTGTTTGGACGAAGCCCAAAGATGATTGTTTGATGACGAAAATTCATCAAGCAGGCAGGCTCTATTGGTGGTAATTGTTGAAACTGGACTTTATACAAACCTTTTTATTGTGACCTTAAAAGACAGCCATACATATGGGAGTTTCTCTTTTGTTTGTTTTATTTCTTTATTTTCTTTTGAAGGGTAGGCAATAATAGTTCAGTTGAGATAGTTTTTTTTCTTAGGGCCAATACTTTTTTTCAGGGCCAATTGGTAACAGAGGCTGCTCGAGAGAGCAGAAGCCACTGCTTGACTTCAGGGACTGAGAACGTTTACCCTAGCTTGGCCGACCTCACAACTCGGCCAACACCGTTTCATGGGTGCTGGCTAGGGAAGCTTCTCCATGGAGGCTGGACAGAATCTTATCTGAAACTTTAGAGAGAGCGTCAAGAATAACAGTCTCATTCAAATATATGAGGTGGAAATCTAATGAACAAACACTCCTTGCCTCATTCAAATATATTGGAGTTTGTGCAGTTGTATATGCCATATCCACAATTTTGCTTAAGGGAAAAAAGTGTGAAAAAAAATTGCGGTGGGGAATGTTGCATAGATAGTTCATTATTTAAGAGATTACTGTACTATAAGTATCGTAATTGTTTTTCATTTTAAAAATAAGTATTATGGTACAAGTAGTACCGTAAAGAATTTTATAAGTATTACCCTACTAATAGTACCGTAATGCTTAGTTAAAATATAACGGTATTAATAGTACCGTTATCAGTTTATTACGGTATTTTTAATATCGTAATTCTTATTACGATACAAATACTACTGTAAAGGGTAGTTTCGTCCAAAAAAACATGAAAATGTTCCAAAAGGGTGTGGTCGAGGTTTTTGAAAGTAAAGAGTTTTTTTCCAATTTTTTAAAAATTTAGGTATATCAACGATAATTTTCTTAAAATATGTTTTCAATCTTAAACTCCCATATTCGCTTATAGAGAGTTATAAAAGGAGATAATTTGTTGATCCATATTCACGTGCGGACTTCTATTAGAAAATAGGTTATGGGAAAGGTTTTTATACTTCCCCTACAGTATGGAAGATCTATGCTTCCCTTACCATCCAGCCGTCCAATTTTGATAAAGATAGCCATTCATCGTTTGATATTAGATTCGACGTCTCAAAGTATTTTATTTTTAGTTTTTTTTATACAAATTTTATGAATTTGAAATTTGGTACGCTCCATCTTTTCATTGGGGTGCACCTATAAAAAATATTAAAAATAAATTTTCGATAAAATATAATGACCAAAATACCTCTTGAAACTTTCAGAGGTATTTTGGTTATTTTATGTCATTGGAAATATAATTTTTATATTTTTCGCTAGTGCAAGCTTAATAGAAGATTGGATGTCCAAATTTTAGTGTCAAAATAGTTTATAGAAAATAAATTAAAAATAAAATAGTATAGAGACGTAGTATTGTGATTACGGCAATCTTAGCCCTCCTTTCAGAATGGACGGTTAGATAAGAGGAAGTATATAAGTTTTATGTTGTAGGAGAATCATAGAAAGCTTACATTTAAATTATATTATTTTATAACCTACTTTAAATTTATTATTATTCATGTTAATAAATTTATTATTTACTGGTGAGTAAATATTCTTCTAGATAATTAGAAAAACTTTATATCACATAAATTTCAAAATATGATTATAATTGTATTAATGCCTTGCATTTGGGGTAATTATTTTCTTAAAAATAATTTCAATTACATTATTTACATATCTAATTTGTAGTTACCGTTCATTACTATCTTGTTTCCCTTTTTTTATATATGCAATTATATCATTCACTAATATAAATAAAATTATTTTTATGTAAATATATTATTTAGTTGTAAGTAAATATTATTTTTAAAACTGGATAAATTTAAAATGCAAAAAAGAAAAACACATAAATAATAAAAATTGTATTTTTATATTTTTGGTTAATTACTTTTGTGTTTTATCTTTTATTTTTTCTTATTTTTAATCATATTATTTTTTAGAATAATTAAAATTACTTTAATATAATGTTAGCAAACAAATTTTTTTACTTATAAGTAAATATTATTCTAAAATTTTGAAAAAATAAAGTCACAAAAATGTTTCACATGATATGTGTAATAAACAACTCATGATAATTAGATATTTATTGCAATTAAAACTCATAATAGAGTTGGTATACATGCCAAAAAAAATAAAATGATATATATGCCTTTCTCTTGATACTATGTAACGGAATATCAAACAAGATATAAAAATTGATATCTTGATAACTTAGAAATGATAATATTATGACTATAATCCAATTTCAAATAAAATTATTAAAGGGTGCGGTTTGTCTAGAGCCTAGGCTCTAAACAAGCCTACTTTCAAATAGTGTTGAGAAATGTGGTTTCAACGATAGAAATATTTGTGATAGCATTAAAATATATTTCCATGTGTATTTATAAAGTTTAAAAAATAGTTTAGATCGCCAAATTTATGAAAATCTTGAAAATTGACGGTCCAAAAATACATTATCAAATGCACTATTTCCAAAACTTGAAATTTATTTTTTTCTCATGTCCATACATTTTGACGTCGAGCTGATTAATTTGAGGATATTTGAGCATCAAAACAATCTCTTCTAGTGAATTTTTTGAGGTAGGCTATAATTTGATTGTTTATAGTATCAGCTCTATATAAACTTTTCCCTTTATTAAAGGGAAGCTAAACTAATTAATATAATAAATTCTATAGATAATATTATAATTTTTTTTACTCTTAATAACTAATTACAAAGTTATGCTTATATGATTATGAGATATTCATGATATTAGATTAGGATTTTGAATACTTTTGGAGATTTCAATTATATTTTTTGTATAATTAACTGCACATATATTTGTCACATGAACTTTATAATAATTATTACTATTATTAGTTATTACAAAGTAATTAGTTACAATAATTTAAACAATTATTGATAAATTAATACATAAAGATAGAATAATTATATGCAAATTTATTTAACTATAACTAAAATATAACAATAAAATAATAATTTTAAGTTAAAATTTGAATAGTACTCCATAGTGATCATTTTCATTACTAAGACATAACTGAATGTGTATTTAGTTGTATGGAATAAGGTATTGGAAGGCCTTGTAGGTGACTGTCATTTCCATCCAAAAGTATATTGGAATGGCCATTGATGGGGTGCAGGAATTAGATGACGAGCTTTTGGGATCTATGGAAAATTTGGTAAAGAAATTATTGGTCATCTTTTTTTACAACAAAATTTTGATAAAATTATATCCAATTAAGGTGCACCTCCAAGTTTTATCATGTAATTTTGTTGTAAAAAATTATTATGATTATTTTAAAATCTATTTTCATATCTAATTAGAAAAATTTAAACTAAAAAAATGATTAAAAGCAAGTAGATCTATAAACATATCAAAATCTAGAAAATTCACAGTCTAGATAATGTGCCGCAAGATGCACTATTTCGAGGACTCAAAAACCTTTTATTTTATTTTCAGATCCATCCATCTCGATGTCGAGATTACCAATTAAAGGGTTTTTCAACAATAAAATAACATTTTCGATAAATTTTTAAGGTGCATCTTTAGTTCTACATTTTAAGGTTGCAACCGTATGTAACCTTTTTCATTTTCTAAATTCTAAATTTTAATATTTTGTAAATCACCAATACATAGTGATCCCAAACGGCGATCCGGCATTTCCAAACACGGATTGTGAGCTGGACGATCCACCCTACGAATACGGGTTTTTTAGATACTGCAGCACAGTATAATCGTTCACCATTTCATTGATATGCACAATTTGTTATGGCCAAAACAAACAGGCCGTTAAATACAGAGGCCGAAAAGATATTAAGGGAGATGGAAAGATAGAGAGAGAGAGAGACCACTGCAGCAACGACAAGGCGTGAAAGCGGAAGTGAAGGGGAAAGAGAGAGAGAGAGGTGGCCACAACAGTGGTTAGAGAGAGAGAGGTGTGGCATAACAGGGGGGAGGAGAGAGAGTCTTATGTAGAGCTAGACACAGGTCTCATCTCTTTCTTGGAAACGCCCACTTACTTATCTCTCATGAATCATCTGTTTCCTCTCTCAACGAACTGCTCCTTATACCCTCTCATACATCTTAAACCTCCGTGGACTTCAACTAATTTTCTCTGCAAATTCCAACCAAAGTCTCTGCTCATTCTCCTCAATAAAGGGGGATTGTCTTCCTTTTTGATTGATCAAGAAACTGGGATATTTGTTCCTGGATATGAAGCCTACTATCTTCTCTGCAAATTCTAGCCCGGAAACTTTTTTGGGTAAGTATAAAAATACTTCTCTTACTCCTGAAAGATCGATAACTTAATTGGGTGTAGAGTAAAAGTGGGTTTTCTTCCTCTTAGAATGGCGAGGAGGCTCCCTCTGTGCCGTCCTCTCGCTTTTGTAACACTCCCCATCTCCATGAAATTCATTGGTTTTTCTCCTTTCATTGATCCACTGAGTTTCTCTGACTTTAAACAGTTGGAGCTTTCATGGATTTGATGTAAAAATTGGTTTTTTCTATAGCTATGGCAATGATACTCTCTCTATTTCTCCCTCTCCATATAATTAGACTCCCCAACTCCATGAAACTCATGGGTTTTTCACCTTCCATTGATGCAATGAAAATTCTCACCTCAATACAATGAGAGTTTTAATGGGTATGAAGTAAACAGTTGGGTTCTTTCAGTAACTATGGCGAGGAGACTCTCTCTCAAACTTTCTCGAACTGTTATAAGACACCCAACACCCATGAAATTCATGGGTTTTTCAACTTCTATTGCTGCGCTGGATTCGTTTGTAGCTCCTCAAGATTTGTCCAAAGAGCATTTGCAGTATTGTTTAGGTTTAGCAGAGAAGCTTTTGAGCAGGGGCATGGTTCAAGAATCTCGAGGGGTTCTCGATCGAATTATCAGAGGTTCCAAGTCTAAGCTCTCAAATGCCATCTGTTGTTTTGATTTCTCCATCTCTCATGGCCTAATTCTCAATCTAAAGAGTCTCACTTCTCTTTTGAGAAGTTTGGTTGTATCAGGCCATGCTTCAAAAGCTGAAGAGTTTTACAATTACCTTCTTTCTAGAGAGATTGTCCCGGACCCTGACATGGTCAATTGTATGATAATTTGTTACAGTAGATTGGGGAAATTGCAGAAGGCCATTGACCATCTCGAGGCTCTGGTTCAGGTTGGTTCTCTGCCTTCTTCACCTGCCATTAACGCGTCGATTCAAGAGCTCTGCATAAAAGAGCGAGTACCTGAGGCTCTTAGTTTGTTCTATAGAGCGATATCCTTCAAGGTTCTTCCTAGTTCATCTTCCTGTAGGTTAGTTCTGTTTAGTCTCTGTTCTCGGGGGAATTTTGACAAGGCTCTCCAAGTGTTTGAAACAATGGTGGGTTCCGGTATGAAGCCTAGCATTCAATTCTACAAGTCTTTGATGCATTTTTGCTTTAAGAACAAGAGGGTTGAGGAGGCAGAATATCTGTGTCGATTAATGGAGTTACAAGGTCTTTCTCCAAAGCTTGAGACTTATACTTCCCTTCTCTATTGGTATTGTAAAGATGGAAAGATGGACATGGCTCTGAAACTATTTTGCAGGATGGGTAAAATGGGGTTTCAATTGGATACCTACACTTATAACACACTTATCTATGGTTTTGTGAAACTGGGTCATCTTGATTTGGCTTGGGAGTATTTCAATGAGATGCATGCGAGAGGCTTGGAGCCTGATGTGGTCACTTATAGTGTTATAATCAATCGATACTGCAAAGATAACAGGCTAGACTCTGCTTTGAAGCTTCTTGATGTCATGTCCAGCCATGGTTGTGCGCCCAATGTTCACTGTTACACAGTCTTGATTCAAGTTCTTTGCAAGGAGAATAGGTTCTCAGAGGCTGATTTTTTGTTCAATAAGATGCTAGATAGTGGCCTAGCACCTGACCACATTATGTTCTTGTCTCTTATAAACAACTATCCAAAAGATCGGGAGCCCCTTCTTGCTTTGAAGCTCTTAAAGGCGATGGCAAGGCATAATTGCAGTCTTGATGACTGGGTGTTTTCAGATTCGAGTCCGCAAGGAATTGAGCTTTTGTTGGACGAGATATTGAGAAGCAACATTGTTCCAAGTAGTGTGGCTTTTAATGTACTGATTAATGCTTTTTGTGCAGAAGGGAAATCTGACAGCGCTTTTTATTTCATAAATAAGATGGGTTACCTTGAATTGGAACCCACTGTCTCCACGTATAATTCCTTGGTTAAATGCCTCTTCAAGGAGGATCGAATTGCAGATGCTGAAGCCCTAGTGAGCTCAATGAGGGAGAGAGGTTTGGTTCCCAATCGGGCGACTTATTTGATAATGATAAGTGGGCACTGCAAGGAAAGAAACCTAGTATTGGCTCTTCGGGCCTTTGAGGAGATGCTTGAAAGCGGGTTGGAGCCCACTGTTGCCATCTATGACTCTATTATTGGTTGCCTGGGCAAAGAAAATCGGACGGAGGAAGCCGAATCTATGTTCGATTGGTTGTTTGAAGGTGGGACTGCACCTGATGTGAAAGTATACACCACTTTAATCAATGGGTTTTCCAAAGTGGGAAGAGCTTTGGATGCTTGCAATTTGTTTGAAGAGATGATAGACTTGGGTTTAAAGCCGAGTTCCCATGCGTATTGTGCACTAATAAATGGTTTGATTAAGAGAAACATGGTTCAGCGTGGGTCTTCTTATCTTGAAAGGATGTTGGAAGATGGTTTCAAACCTGATAGGGTTCTGTACACCTCTTTCATTAACCAGTTCTGTCGAAGAGGCGAGATTGGTGTGGCTTTAAGCTTTGTTGATCAGATGATTAAAAACCGGATTGAGCCTGATTTGATCACTTATGGATCTCTGATAAGCGGGGTTTGCCGAAATATCTCACGTAAGGTGCGGCAGCACCCCATACCAATTTCCCGTTCCAAAAGAAATGAAGATGCGAGAAAAATGCTCTTTAATCTGCTCCCTCAAAAGACTATGGAGCCCTCAAGACTTGAGCAACGGTTTTTGTGCAATTCTTCTGAGGAAAAGATTGAGCTGGCTCTAAATTTGATGCGAGATATGATAGATGATGGGCTCATGCCTGATTTGCATATTTACAATGGGATGATTAATGGGTTTTGCAGGGCTGACATGATGGGAGATGCTTACGACCTTCTTGATTTGATGCTTCAAAATGGGGTGCACCCTAATCAAGTGACGTATACCATACTTATCAATGGCCACAGCATGCATGGTGAAATTGATCTTGCCATTAAGTTATTCAATCAAATGGCTATGGATGGGTATCCCCCTGATAAGGTTACATATAATGCACTTCTTAAAGGCCTTTGCTTGGCGGGAAGAATAGTGGATGCTTTATCGCTCACACTCACAATGTATAAGAAGGGTTTTGTTCCCAGTAAGATTTCCTATGATCGACTACTTGAACACCTCTCTGTTAATGGTGCAATTGATCTGGCTTTCAATCTGTTTCAAGAAATGCTTATGCATGGTTGTGCCCCATGTCGGTATAACTTCAACAGATTGATCTGCCTTTTCTGTGAAGAAAATAGATTAAGGGAAGCCCATTTTGTTTTTGACGCTATGCTTAAAAGGGGAAAACTCCCAGAGGAATCGACTAAGACCCAGTTGATAGAAGCATGCTACATGCAAAGAGAGTTTGAGATGGCTATTATGATTGAGGAAAATATGCTTGTTTACGAGGCCTAATTTTACATTTGTTGGCAGTGCTGATCTAACTTGCTGGACCTCAATCTGTGACAATGTCCATATTCTCCTCAAGGTATTTTTCATTCTATTTCCCAAGTCACAAAATATTATAACCTGAAATGATAAATATAGAAGGTTGAAAATTTGGTGACTAATCAGTGCTTATATTCCTGACAGGGCTTGCGGTTAGAAACAGATGCTTGTGTTTGGAAGAAGCCCAAAGATGATTGTTTGATGACGAAAATTCCTCAAGCAGGCAGGCTCTATTGGTGGTAATTGTTGAAACTGGACTTTATACAAACCTTTTTATTGTGACCTTAAAAGACAGCCATACATATGGGAGTTTCTCTTTTGTTTGTTTTATTTCTTTATTTTCTTTTGAAGGGTAGGCAATAGTTCAGTTGAGATAGTTTTTTTTCTTAGGGCCAATACTTTTTTTCAGGGCCAATTGGTAACAGAGGCTCGAGAGAGCCGAAGCCACTGCTTGACTTCAGGGACTGAGAACGTTTACCCTAGCTTGGCCGACCTCACAACTTAGCCAACACCGTTGCATGGGTGCTGGCTAGGGAAGGCTCTCCATGGAGGCTGGACAGTATCTTATCTGAAACTTTAGAGAGAGCGTCAAGAATAACAGTCTCATTCAAATATATGAGGTGGAAATCTAATGAACAAACACTCCTTGCCTATAATTTTTTTTGTAGTTGCTGTTGATTGGAGTTTGTGCAGTTGTATATGCCATATACACAATTTTGCTCTATTGACCGTTAAGCCATTTTTGTAAAGGTCCTTAAGGAAAAACATGCACACGCACTTTTGTATACATTTTTATATGATTTTAGTGTAAAAAAGTTCATATTATTATAAAAATAAAAGAAAAAGAAAAAAGAGTTGTTGTGACAGAGAGCCAACGGTGGTTTTGATCTTAGGACCTTCAGTTTTTTATTTTTAATCTTCAGTTTTATTTTGTACTTTTCCATGGAACATCTATGTCTGAAGCAATGCAATAAGGTCAGGAAATTAGTAAAATCATCTATATGTGAAATTGCTGTAATATCATAAAGTTGGATTATCTTCCTTGATTATTTGCTTGCATTCAACTGTAGTATCCCAGTAGTTATCTTCAGATTATTATTTTCCTCTCAGATTAGGTTCATCATTTGCCTCTGCACGTAAATTGTTCATCAACAATAATGAAGAACTACATTGGGTGCTTTGCTATATCAAACTTGTGGATTAATTCCTTCAAGACAGCATGATATGTTACAAACTGAGAACCTAATGCTGTTTGCATTGTCTGTAATGGTTTGTCCAATTAAAGAAGGACACCTGATAACCCCATCCTAAAAGCATGCAATAAAGAGAACATAAATTCAGAAATTGATAAATTTTAGTAGTAGTAATTTATAAGTATTTCATTAGGAATTTGTGCTCCCAATTCTTCTAATTTCAAGTGTTGGGCATTTCCTTTGTGATTCCTTTTTCCTTTTTCTTAGTAGGTCTTGGGAAGTTGATAGGGGAAGCAAGGTTAGGGATCCAACAAAGTTTTAAGGAAAAGGGATGATTTGATTGGGGGAAGGGGGTGGTCATTAAATGACGGGATATCTCTGATAATGGAGGGGATTAACATGGCCAACCTTCGTCTCAAAAAACATCCTGCCGAGCGCCTAGGCAGTCAAGAGTCGTGCCCAGGAATGTCCAATAAAATGGGAGAAAAGAAAATTTTTTGTGGGGCCATTTTGGGTAATTTTGACCCATGAAAAGGGCGTATTCTGACCCCCCCAAAGTAGAAACACCCATAATTGATCGATTTTGCGATTTTTTCGAAAGAAGAAAATTTTAGAAGTTCATAGAATCATATGAAACCTTACCATATATTATTGAAATCAATTTTAGGGTCCACATGACTTTAGACAACCGAAACATTGAAGATCAAACATCTGAAACATCGTAAAATTGAAAATCTCCTTCTCTTTTCACTTGTATAGTATCTTTTGTACGAACGACTTCATACAGGTCATTTGGTCTCATTTGAGACTTGGGAGTCTATAAGTATGATTGTATGAAGTATGGACTATATAGTGTATGGACACTAAATCACTAATGCACCATGTACTTTGTCTTATAACTATTTTAGTTATTAAAATTTTCACTGATTTGAATGTGTTTCAACATTCATGCGCATGTATTTACATAAAAAAGTTAGAATACATTTGAATGCAATAATGTACATATTTAAGACATACATAGGCACATATGTGAGGTGGACAGCACAAACACACATATATGTATAAATGTGTATATCTCACACCTTTGGGCACCTGAGGTTCTGGCAGCTGCCTAGGCGCTGGGCGCCCTAGATCTCTCCGTGTGCCTGGGGGCTGCCCAACGTTTATTTAAACCTAGTGGGCTACTGGTGGATGTTGTGTAGTGGTTATAACCAAAGTTTTAGGCAAATGTTTCTTTTGTTTATATTATATACTTACAAGCATTTCTCTGTCCGAGCCCTGGTCCTTTTAAGTAAATGCGTGTAGACATTTCTTATGAGAATAAGAGGCACTGGTTATGCAGTTTCTTCTCGTTGATCTGCTCCAGTTTTCTTGGCAAATGTGCCTACAAGTTAGTCTCGTTATCTGTTCCAGTTTTCTTGGCAAATGTGCCTACAAGTTAGTGAACATCACAAGTGTGTGTCTCTTTTTTTTAAAATCTGTTCGCTACTATATTAAAGAAAAAGGTATTACATAAGGTAAAGCAACACATTAACTGGTTGCACTAGACCAAAAACCCATTAACGGGGTGCACTTGTGTGAACATCACAAGTGTTCTGTGGTTTTTCAGGTTGTGCATTTTTTTTTCCTTTGGGAAATTTATCAGAATAAACCTAAAAGTTGAACTATTTTAATATTGTACCCTAGTTGTAATTTGATAAATGTCAAACCCGATATTGATTTGTCATTTGATGGGCTATTTGAAATTTCATTAAAAGAATGATGGACTGATTTTACATTCAAGAAAAGAAAAGAATGATGACTAATGAGATAAAAAAAATATGGATAAAATGTGTAATAGTTCAAATCTTAGGTGAAGTTTGACAATTTTACCTTCATGTTTTGAGTAATCCGTTTCTTTACTGCCAGGCTTGAGGATCCATGCTCCATGATTTTTTGTTTCATCATTTCTACCTTCCTATGTCTACTTAGCTGATTAATTTTAGCACCAGTTGTCTTCTATGGAGCTCATGTTTTTGTAAATCTCTCTGGTTAACACTTTGTTGATGCCTCATTTTGATTAAATCTTTCTTTCCTCCTAATGCTTTATTTTCCTTGGGTATACATTGACAGTTACAGCATATTTCAATGGTTCTCATAGGATGGCTGCAAATGACGATCACCACATGGCTCGTTTAGAAGTTCTTTGTATCATCAGTGACATACTGCAGCTTCACTGGCTTATGGAGTTGTGAAGAAAAAGAAGAATGGAAACCATTCAGGGTTGGAATAGTTGATTATTTAGGTAGTCAACTATAGCACATGTGGGGGCCTATTTTCATCGAACTACATTCATAGGTCATTGTTTCTCATTTTGATTAGTGTGGTTGTCTGCTGTATATTTTATGATCTTTTCCATTCAATTTACATTGCTTTGTGAGCTTAACCTCTTATAGTCACTACTGGAATATATGGTCCAACATCTTCTTTCTAAAGTCAAAGTGTGGATTTGATTCCAGATGTTTGCTTCATCATTATTTACTCACATCTGGGTCATTTACCCGTAAAAGAGAGCTCATCTTTAGGTCATTCAAGGCTTTTAAGGAGTGCACTCTATCCCTCAAAGGCCGCTAACTCTAACCCGTTAAATTAATTTAATTAATCCTTGCCTTTCATAAAATTCTTTGCTCATGTACTTGATTGAATGGTGTAAATTGTTGCTCATGTACTTGATTGAATGGTGTAAATTGTTTGCTCATGTACTTGATTGAATGGTTGCTTCTAGTATGCCAGATATTTATTGACATTGGAATTGTGGTTTGATGTTTTAAATCAATGTCTTGGTCATGAGAGTGTAATGATCACTCATGAATTGGTGGTTTAGTATAGGATTTAGGATATGGCCCTTGATAGAGCGGAAAGACGGAATTCGTGTAGCCCCAAATAGTTGGAACAAGGCTCAGATGATAATGATGGTTTAATATAGTGATTTGGTCCTTACTTCATCCTGATAAGTATATGATTTAGTTCTTGTGAGTGGGTGTAGGTTGTTTTTGCATGCATTACTAGTCTTGAGTTAGGGAACTAATTGAAAAATAGGTGGGTGTGTGTTTTTGAGAGGGGGGTGGGGGGGGGGGGAGGAGAGAGAGAGAGAGAGAGAGAGGATTGCTTTGTATGTGTGTGTGAGAGAGAGGAGGCATGGTTGTGTGTGTGTGTGAGAGAGAGTGTTGCTAGCTAATAACTTTTATTCCTGTCATAAACCATCAAACCTTCATATACTCTTTTTGCTTTCCTTCGATGAATTGTTGTGAAGCTCTAAAAATCTGAGAGAGAATTATGTACATATTGTTCTGAATCATGTACATAAGAGGGGTTCTTGATGTCTCTTTTAATAATGCCTATAAATATTTTGCTTTAGTTCCTTGCTTTTGCATGATCAGATTATCATAAACTGATCTTTGTTGGTTTCTTGCAGGTTAGAATCTGAAGGAATGCAAAGAAAATATCCCTTCCAAAAATACAACGGTATATGGCATATGCAAATGGGATTGTATACAACCATAGCATTACCTCTTGGACACAATGGTCACAAACACCCCAAGCCGTCAAATGCAAAACCGATGTGTGGTGTTTTCCATCTCTTCAAACAAAGTTTGAGAGACAAGTTGTTGGTTGTCGACTGCAGTCAATAATATACCTTCAGCTGCCTGATTTCATGTTTGAGAGCTGTGGGTGTTTCTGACCTTTTTGGACCAAAAGTAAACTGTATTATTGTGTGCTTTCCCCATGCAAATAGTTTTACACTTGGGAAATAATGTTGAAAGGATGGTTTGGGAAGGTTAAGTGCATCCTCTCTTTATCTCCTTTAGCGGTGGATATCCAATTCATTAAAAGGGCACTTAAAGAAGGCGAGCCCCACACTTGTGAAGTAAATAGCATGTCTATGCCATAAGCATGAGAAAGATCTACAAATGTTTGAAGAAAATAGTGCACCAGAAAGGTGAGAAGTTGTATACTAATTTAAACTGTAATTTTATGCTGAGAAAAATTCCCTCATCTTTTACTAAAAAGTTTGCCATCTTATCTATGAGCAGAGAAGAATGAGACCAACGTATAATTTGGAAAATTAGAACACATTTCCAGATGGAAATCACCACCTCCATCATATCTAACTGGAAAATCCAATTTTGTTTCTGGAAGACTTTGATCAGGTCTGGGATCAATAAACACGTGCAATTAGGGGGGGAATGGGGGGGGGGAACTTACGCTTAGATTGATTTTTTTTCATTGCCCCACAAAGAGAACCAAGATCCAAAAGCTTGATTTGCACAGAGGAAGGCTAGTAATGCTTTTACTTTTTTCATATAAACATGTATAGACGTGTTGGGCTGGATCTATTTTTTAGGCTGAAGCACGAAGACACTTCAGGCACAAACTAGACATGACACCAGTGTCATGTAACACTACTGGCCATAAGCCTTAGTTTGCATGTTTACAGGCCTCATAGCCATTATGTAACGGTTGGGATAGCATGAAACACATTTACCTATTTGTAGTTTAGGAAAACAATTTGGCTACTATTCCTTGTGGAATGTTATCCTTTGGGTAGAATATCATAAAAATGGTCACACTACCTCAAAAAACACTAAAGGTGGTAACATCAACCAATTTGCCAACAAGTGGTTGCTTTGACAGGACCATTTCATTCAAGTACCTCCTCAAGTATTTACTTATATCCAAGGTTTGGAATCTTGAATAGAAGGGTATTTTGGTAATTTGGTCCATGTGAGTGGGGCAAGAAGTGGTTACTTTAATAAGACCATTTTATTCAAGTACCTCCTCAAGTATTTGCTTATGCCCAAGGTTTGGAATCTTAAGTATGTAGGGATATTTTTGTAATTTGGTGCATGACGAAAGTGGGCTAAATTACCAAGACGCTCTTGTTTGTTTTGGGTTCCAAACCTAGGACAACAAATTTAATGAAAAACCACATGTTCTGGATTTAGAACTTGGAACAAGAGGGGGTGGTTTCACCATTTGACTTGGGTAAATGAAAAACAAACGATGTAAATGCCCCTCTCATTATTTTGGATTCCAAACCTAGAAAAATATATTTTTAATGGAGAAAATGTGTTCCTGGTTTTGAACCCAGAACATGCACGGATGCCTATATCATCTGGTTTGGGCCACTTTAAATGAGGAAAAATACCAGAATGCCACCGCTTGTTCAAGATCCAAATCCAAAACAGCAGTATTTTAAGCATTTTTTGATAAAATAGTTGAGAAGGTAGTTGAGCGAATTAATCTTTTCAAGTAACCATTTTATTGATACTTAGTTTCACATAACTAATATTTTAAGGTAGTTTTACAATTTTAATGGTATTTCCTCTTAATTGTATGTGAACAAGAAAACCAAGGAAACAATTTAATGTTTCAGACATGATTCCAGCAAACCAAATTGCATCAAGTTGATATTCTAAGCACTTTAGTTCATATAAAGAGAACAATTGGATACAGGATAGAACATTCACACTCGGCCTAACTTACTGAACCAATAAACCAGAAACTGCACGAAAGAATGAAGCATCCAATTCTTAAGAAGAGTATATAGATTGCAACTTCCCTTGGTCACCAGTAAGATGCTTTATGGTATGGATTTCCAAAAAGGTTCCACATACTTGTCCTGATGATAATGGGGTTACTCATAGCTAGAGTTTTCATTGTTTAGATATTTGGAACCGAGATTTGAAGATCCAAAGATGACATTCATCGACTCCTCAGCTCCCTACCATGAAATTAAACAGCCTGTTTGTTCGTGTTCTTCATGATTAGTTGTGGACTCTTCCATAATAACAGTCTTGAGAAGAGGAGGTCAGTCCCTCTGCAAAGATGCTTGGCTGATCTGACTAATAACCAGAAGCCGCAGAAATGCCATGACCGTACCTATGGTAATATGTACCATATTCTTCTGCCGAAGGTCACCAGTAGCCGTGTTGCTCCTCGCGATCACCATGATATGGGGTCAGACACGGCCCACTCAAATTCAATAGGCCATCCACTTTACCATTTCCATGTGAGTCCCCAGGGTTCATGGTGGGACTTGTCTTCTTCATTGTGAGTAAGCATTTTCTCCTCTTCTTTTTCATGGGACTGAGCTGCTGTTATTGTTCTTGTTGTAGTTATTATTCTTGTTGATCGGGGAGTCCTCATAAAGGGAGAACAACGTTCCATAGTTCAAATTCTCAATGGATGACATGAATATTTGGAATAAGGATAGCAGGTCTCTTTAGATGGGGGTTCCAGTAGCAAGAGCCGAACCATAAACGCCGCTACAAGAAGTGGGATCCTACTCATATACGACATCCCCACCACTGCTGCCAGTGGAGTAAGCCATGGTCGAGAATTGCAGAGTCCCCTGGAATTTTCTTCTGTGCCTTGCTTTTAACCCCATCTCTTTCTTCTGTTAAGCTGAAAGGTAGGCCTCAGTTTGCTGCTCTATACAACGATTCATGGCATTCTTCCCATAACCCAAGACATGTATCCAACATATTATTGGGAACAGTTCTCTATGTATACATTCTAGGCTTATGCTTGGAGGGGATAAGAGAGATGGAGGTTACCAGCCTCACAACTGAAGGCATACAACCAAGCTAGCCATGTGTGGGGTGTATATTTTGTAGCAAACAATCCCTTCCACACAGGAATTGCCATGCTTGTGTCTCTCCCTCTTTCTAGAATTCATAAGGTTACTGATAATCTTCGAGGGGATGGCCTCTTTGCTCCCCTGGTAATTACCAGTAGTCTTTACAAGAACAGTCACCTTGTTGGAAAAGGTGGAAGCGGTTCCGGTCCCTGAGAATGATATCCCGATCATAAAGCTTGGATATGAGCTTCATTACCACATGACAGTCGCTGCATACCCTGATATTCTTCACAATCCGGATAGGGGTCCCTGGGTTCGTATTCAAGAGCCCAAAAGCCACGGCCAACTTTTCACTGTGATGGCCTAAGGCATCGGCTTTCTCTTCATCCTCCAGGTCTAGATGCACGGCCGAAGTGTCTGCCATGTAACCAGCCGCATGCAGCTCCTCCGCAACTTGCTCCAATTTGCGGTGTATTTCATCTGTGTCTGGGTGGGTTCGATCACCTGCCACAAACTCATGAACCATGCTCCCCACCTCTATGGAGCTGCAGCCGGGCTTCTTCTCCACCCCCCGCACCTTCATGAAGTTCCTCACTCGGTGCACATCACGCCATCTACTGGCAGTGGCATACATGTTGGAGAGGAGCACATAGTAGCCCGGATTTTGTGGGTCAAGCTCCACCAGCCTCTCCAATACCCTCTCGCCTAACCCCACATTGTTGTTGTGGACTCGGCAACCGTTGAGCAGCGTACCCAAGATCACGGCATTGGCTCTTACAGGCATGGTTTCAACCAGGCATTTGGCTTCTTGCAAGAGACCTGCCCTGCACAGCGCATCCACTACGCACCCATAGTGCTCCACCTTGGGGACCAACCCGTGGTCCCTCCTCATCATCTCCAATAACATCCTTGCTTCTTCTACGAGACCCGTGTGCCCACATGCACACAACACCCCCACAAATGTAATGTCGTCCGGTGTGACCCCTGACGTCCTCATCTCTCTGAACATGGCTAAGGCTTCTTCACCCCGGCCATGCAGTGCCAGTCCTGTGATGATGGTGTTCCATGACACCAGGCTCTTGACGGCCGTGTTCTCGAACACTTTCATTGCCTTTTCAATGCTCCCGCATTTCGAATACATGTCCATCAGCGCATTGCTGAGGGCAACATCTCGCCTGGCGGGGCAGTTACTCAAAGAAGAAGCAGCAACAGGAGGCGTGGTCATCATCCTTCTGTCAATGTAGACATGAAGCCACTCCCCAAGTTCCAAGGCCCCCAAGTCTGCACATGCGGGGAGGATGGCGAGCATTGTGATCTTGTCTGGCTTCACACCCGCCATCTGCATCTGCCGGAAGACTGACAAAGCGTCATGGGGCATGGAGGCTCGGGTATACGCAGATATCATGGCGTTCCACGTGGCGGTGGTCTTCATCACACGCACAGGCATCCCCTCAAAGAGTGCGGTAGCTCCCTCGAAGTCCCCAGCCCTTGCATACCCATCCACCATGACAGTCCAAGATTGCTCGTCCTTGCACCCATGGGGCATCTCATCGAAGAGCCTTTGTGCCTCATGCAGGCAACCCCGGCGGGCATAGGCTGCGATCATGGTATTCCATGATGCGGCAGTCCTGCGAGGCATTTTTTCGAAGACATGGAAAGCGCTCTCCCACTCCTCCGCCAAAGTCGCATACATGTGCAGCAGGGCAGTCTGGACGTAAACATCCCTCTCGAGCCCGAACTTGAAGACATGCCCATGGACAGCGCGGCCCAGCAGCAACGAGCCCAAAGACGCTGATGCCTTAACAAAGAAGGTGAAGGTGAAATTGTTTGGCGCAATGCTCCGTTCCAGCATCCGAACATAAAGGAGGACCCCTCGTGCCGGGTCCATGTTTCCATTGGCGTAAACCCGGATCATGGTGTTCCACGCATACACAAAAGACGGTGCCGACAGCGCTGCGACGTCCTCCATTGACATGGCGACAATGTGCTCAAACATGACGCCCGCATACTGCAGGCTGCTGGCGAGGCTGGTGGTGCAGAAGGCCAAGAGCTTCGAGTACAAGTGCTGCTCAGAGGCGAAGACCCTGATGACTAGAGCCTGTATTTGCTTCAGTTGCTTCATGGAGGTGCAACGCTGCAATGAAGACGACACCAATGTGTGTGTAGTGGGATTCGTAGAGAAATGGATACGGCCGCCATCGTCGCATCCCGTGTTTACGAGAAGTGGGGAGTGGTTGCAGGCCGAATTCGCATAAGTAATGGCAGCAGCAGTGGGCTGCATGGCTAAGTGAACTGAGGAGCTCTCCTAAGTCACATAACCGCTTTATCCATTACATTCATGGCGAGGGAGAGAGAGAGTTCAGGCTTACTGGTGCAAACCCAATAGAGAAAAAGTTCTCTCTGGTTCAATTGATGTTTCAGATAAGAAGAATATTGAATCAAAATCTCTCCTGTCTCTCTGCTTTGATTGTAGATAGATAGATAGAGAGAGAGAGAGAGAGAGAGTGCATGGGCGACCTGGGTAGTGAGGAGTTCTCCTTTGTCACAAATAGCTTTATCCATTTAACATCCATGGCATAACAGAGTACAGATAGAGAGACGGGTATCTATTGTGCATACGTAGCGTGCTCCCGCGGGATCACTTTGTCTAAAGTTGTAGCAGCACCACGACACTTAAAAAGAAAAGAAAAAGAAACCTTTTAATTTTGGGAAAAGTTTACAACCTTAAAATGTTGAATAACACATGCACCTCAAAATTCTATTGGAAAGGTTGTTTTAGTGTTGAAAAATCCTCCTATTTGATATCTCGACTTAAAAAATAAAAGTTTTTGAGTCTAAAAAATAGTGCATCTTGTAACATATTATCTAGGCCATCCATTTTCAAGATTTTCATATGTTTATAAATATTCTTGATTTTAATTATTTTTGGAGTTTAAAATTGCTAATTAGATATGAAAATAGATTTTAAGATAATCTTAAAAAAAATTTACAACAAAATTACATAGTATGATAAAAGTTAGAGGTGTGCTTTAATTGGATTGTTTAAGGTGCAACCTTATAGAAACTGCACCTTTTATTTTTAAAGGTAAATTTATGTCGGTACCATTATTATGGTATGATCCCAATAAAATATGTAGTATTTATGCAGAGCGCCTGACTTCCCTACTTTTTTTTTATTTTTTTCCAAATTTGCCTTTGGGTTGGAGGTTTTAAACATCGGATTGCATATTAGATTTATTTTTTGATATTCACAACTTTGATGTCAAATAAATGCTATACACTTTTTAGTGGATTCGATGTTCGAAACATCAGACTGTAAAACTTCCAAAAAATAAGGTTTAAAGGTGGTTCAATGTTTCTAACATTAATGAAATCTTAATTGGTGCATATTAAAGGACCCATGTTATCCAATACTAACAAAGTACAATCTTAATTCGTAGATGTCAAGGGAACCTCATTTTTTGAAGGTTTGAGGCGATCCAATGTTTCAACAAAAATTAGGCCGGTTTCATTTTTGGAACATTAGACCACCCTACAAAATTGACGTTTGATGTTTTTAACATTGAGCTGACCTGTAAATATCATAAAATTAGAAAATAAATTTAATATGTAGTCCAACATTTAAAACATGAGACTGAGAGCAAACTTAGAAAAAAATTGAAAATTTGGGAGAACAAGGACCTCTTCATAAATATCACATATTTTTAGAGGCGAGGCTTTATTTTGTTTTCATAAAACCTAGGCCTTATAAAAACCTCATCCTTTACTTATAACTTCGTTGCAGTTTGTATAGAGACGCTCTGAACAATCAAAGTAAAGCACACGTTCAAATAGTTCGAGAAATGTGGTTTCAATAAATGTTTATGATAGCCTTCAAATATATTTCTATCGCTAATTATAAACTTTAAAGCTTTAAAAATAGTGTAGATCGAGTAGTTCTATGAAAACTTGAAAATCTTGAAATTTTACGGTCTAAAAATGTATTATTTCCAAAACTTGAATCCATTTTTTCCTCATGTCCATGCATCTTGAAGTCGAGACGATCAATTTGAAGATATTTAGGCATCTAAACAACCTCTTCTAGTGAAATTTTTGAGGTGCACCCTAATTTGATTGTTTCGAGTCTCGCACTTATATAAACTTTTTCATACTTTATATTCATGACCCTTTACTTACAATTACTAAAGTCTAGACTCCATCTCTATTATCGACCTATAGACATTTGAGTCCAAAATCCATGTCTAGTTTGTGCGTATGTATCATAGTTAATGCTCCCTCAGTCAATTTCCAATTTAGAAAAGTTAGATCCCGACCCACAAACCCTAGACACCTTTCTCTCACTTCAAGGCTTATTGCTCTCTTTCTCTCTTGATTTTCTTTTGAGTGCGGTTTTTATAGTTAGTAGGCTCTAAACAATCAAAGTAAAACGCACCTTCAAATGGCATCGAGAAATATGGTTTCAATACTGGGAATCTTTGTTAGAGCTTTAAAATATATTTTTATTTTTAATTATAAATTTAAAGTTTCAAAAATAGCATAGATCAAGTAGATCATGAAAACTTGAAAATTGTCAAATCCAAAAAGAGTAATGACACCATGAGACCCTCCCACACCCATGTAAGTAGGACCCAAAGGATCATCATTAAATTTTAACACATATCTATAGAAAAGTTATCACATGGGTGTAGGACTTAGGTGAATGGGCTTATTGATAATTTTTCTAGAGATCTGTATTAAAATTTAATGGTAATCCTTTGGGATCCTATTCATATGGGTGTGGGAGGGTCTCATAGTATCATTACTTGTCCAAAAATTGTGTTACAAGATGCACTATTTTCAAAACTTGAAATCTTTTTTTTTCTTATGTCCATGCATCTTAATGCCGAGATGATCAATTTGAAGATATTTGGGTATCAAAACAACATCTTCTAATGAAATTTTTGAGGTGGGCTCTAATATGATTGTTTAAAACCTCAACTCTATATAAACTTTTTCCACTTTTTTATTTTTATTTTTATTTTTATGAAAAAGGTGTGTGGTTTGTATAAGGCTAAGACCCTAAACAAACAAAGTAAAAGGCACCTTCTAATAGTGTTGAAAGATGTTTCAGTACTAGAAATATTTGTGATGGCTAGACAATTTATTTTTATATCTAATTATAAAACTTAAAGCTTTAAAAATAGTATCTCTTGAAAATTTTGAAAATTGACCATCTAGAAAATTACATTACATGATGCACTATTTTTAAGATAAAAAATCCAATTTTCTCATATTTATACATCTTAAGGTTGAGATGATCGATCTGATGATTTTTGAGCATCAAAACAATTGTTTCAAACAATCTTTTGAAGTGAATTTTTGAAATGCTCATTAATTTGATTGTTTAAAGCCTCAACCTTATATAACCTTCTTCCTTTATATAATAATATAGCACCTTGACCTATATAAGCAAAGCACGCATCTAAATTGCCTATACGAGTAAAGTATACATCTAAATTACCTGATGTCGTAAACATTAAACATTACAGCGGCTTGAAAATTCATATTTAACTCTAATTATGAAATTTAACATTATAAAAACAATAGAAATCAAGCAAATCTATAAATAGACAATCAAGACTACTTGTTACAAGATATATTGTTTTTACGAGTTGAAATTTATTTATTTATTGTTTTATATCCATATATCTCCAAGTCGAGATAATCAATTAGAAGATTTTACAATTTTGAAAAACTCTTTTTTGCTAGAATTTGAGGGGCATCTTACTCCTATAAATATAAAGTTGCAACTTGAATAAATTTTTTGTATATATAAAACAATTCTAAAATTCTAGATTACAATCTTCATAGATAGAAGAGTAAAATACTGGGTTACACTCGTCATGGACAGCACTCAAATCTGCAAATGATGACTTCCCCATTCAAGTGAAAGAATCAGATTCTTGTCTCATCAAATTATTGTCAAAGACAACGGCTTTGCCAACCAACGTTTAAAAAGTCAGACTTGGGTGAACCGGTCACCCACTAGTGCGTTCCGAACTGTTCAGTTCGATTCAACGATTTACGGCAGGACAACTCAGCCAAATTAATAAAAGAAAAGGCACAGAAAATGTAGACAATTTTAAAAAGTTTCAAATATTCTGCCAGTTGCAGTTCAAACCTGAACAACCGATTGTTTACAATACAAACAATAGGCTACCAACATTTGGAATGCAATATTCGTCATGGAAAACCTTTGACTACACATTTGAAGCTAATACTTTTCATAACTAGCTTTTCTAGCATATATTTATCAGCATCGACAATGCAGATTTGACTGTTCATAGGAAGCCATTACTGTTTCCTTAAAATTCCAGTACCATACATAATACAATTAAATCTGATGCATATGCTCTGATAATTCAATAAAATAATTCGAGAAAGCTATGATTCAAGAATTGCTGATAGATTGCAGAACAAGCCCAAGTAAATACCTGATTTTGACAGGCACAAATTAAACAATAATAAAAAAAAAAAACACTATGATCGTGGCATGCAGATTTGGGGCGAGCACAACAACCGACAGGTTTCTTGGTTTTACATTATTTTACGACACTGTATAGAGGAAAAGCTATTCATAAAATGCTTCTCTGTTCCCATCGATACAATCTGAAGGCAAGGAAGGGATGTTAGAAATGGAAGTACAATTCATCTGAGGAAGAATTTCCAAATCTCTCTGTCTCCAATCTCTGTTATCATATGAGCCCCAAAAATGCCTTCCTCATCAACCAGGCCGCGAAGCTGCCGGGCTCCACCATTAAGACCAATATAATTCTTCTTTGTTGCCATGAACAATACACCATATGGAGGTCGCAGGCACTGTCGAAAATATAAAAAAAACACCCAAGTGATTACTTATCCAGCTGATGGACAAGAAACTTTAAAGTATAGCATTAGGAAAATTGATTAGTCACTTAATAAATTAAGAATAAAAAAATCAGAAAAATGCTAAGCTTGAGAAGCTTTCTCATCCTTTTGCCACTGAATAACACTAATGGTAGAAAACAGGGCTGTTCAAAAAATAAAACAAAAAGAAAGGAAGAGGGTAAGCACCAAAGACATAAAACACGGTACAGGCAGTTAGGATCTTAGCAATACTGTCTCATACTCTCACCAAGGTTTTCATTTGTTCAAGGCATCAAATCTCCCCTCACACCATCAGAGCAGTGATCCATTGCAGAAAGTGCAATAGGAACGGAACTCATGAGGCCTCCTCTAATCTATTGTAAAAGATGAGCTAAGAGAGGCATTTTCTTTCCGATAATAGCTCAATTGCCAAAGACCCTGGCAGACGGTGTCTGTCGGCCACTGAGGCATCCTTAACTGTATAGTGTCTTTCTTGCAAAAACCACTTCTAACGCAGCGTAATAATCCCACTTTCATTATTTCTTACTTTACAAAGATAAGACTCATCTACTGAATAAGTCAACCAAAAGCTCTTCTACACATACTACCAGTAAATTGAAACAAATACCTTTCAATCTTTAAGAAATTCAACGAAGAAAAAAAGCGCTCTCTAACAAAAGAAAAAATCCAACACCAAAAGAGTTTGGAAAAAAAAGAAGAAAAACTAGAAACAGAAATGGGTGAAAATTAAAGCAACTGACCTTCTTGATGAGCGCATAGAGCTTTCTCAATGATGCCACCGAGTACGGAATATCGGCCATGAGAATTATGTCATATCCACCCTCTGTGGCGTCGGTCTCACTCCCCCTCTCCCAAGCCCGGCTCCCTGAGAGCTTCCTCGTCCTCTGAGAAGAAGAGTCTTGAACAATTGAGCAGCTCCCATCATGGCTACTACAGCCATCCATGGCGAAATCCTCCTCTGAAAAGCTAAGGCTTGCAGCGCCCATTGATTCAAAACCAGCATCCTTAGCAACAACAGATAGAATCGTGTGGAGCTCTTCCCATTCCCCGGCAAAGAAGCGAACGTCGGGATCTAATGCGAGACGCGATGGGGTTAGTGGGCTCTCAGGCTGGTGGGCCTGCCGGTCCTTGGCTTGCTCAAGGTTTGCAAGGACATTGGGTATTGTGGTGCACCTTATCTTCTCGGCACTCAGGTCTTGGAAATGCACTGTTGAGGCACCCTGTGATTGAATTCGTTAGAGAGAAATATCAGATGAGGTCATTCTTTGCTTAATAATAACCATTTGGTCATTTAAGACAATGTTTATTTTATAGAACACTGGACAATGGAAAACCGTTGTCCATTAGGGTAGGCACCATCCAATGAGTGAACCACCAAACCAGGACATGCGATCAATGGTGAGTTTCACGCCTCCATAAACTCAAGATTTTCAAGGACTTGGAGAGCTAAATATTTTCTCGTGCATTGCCAAATTCATTGATTTATATCATGCCAAAGATATTCTCCAATTTCTATGCATGGGTAGGGAGTGCCCTCTAGACCTAAAAAAGGTTCAATGATAAGTACCTTTAGACAAGCGAAAATTCCAGGGAGACCATGCCCACATCCAAGCTGCAATAAAAAAAGAAATTAGGCTCAGGAAAGGATACCACACAAACAAAACTCTCCCAAGAATTTAAACTCCATTGAGAACATTAACATAATACATAGAGGACCATGGCATGGTTCTTCAAGCCATGAATTCAAGTAAAAATTACCTCTAAAATTCGCTTGCCTCTAAAACTCAACTGCCCATCACGAATCTCGTGTTTAAGGGCATTCACAAGATCCAAAGAACCTTCCCAAGATTTTACACCCCCTGCAACAACATAAGTGTACTTCTTACCACTGAAACTGAAGGAAACGAGAATATAATTCATAAAAATATAGATGATAATAGAAATGTGAAAGTAATCAAATTAAGGAACACATGGTCAAAATGATAATAAAAAAGGGAACCAATTACTAATTCCTTATTTATATTTTGCAGATAAAACTTTCAAAGATACAAAGAGCAAACTAATTGAGATTAGCTTTCCATTTTATTCTAATACCCTGAATGCCTTCAGCACCATGCAAAGCATTCATTTCCTACCCCGCCACTTCACCCGGCAGCCCTACCTCACTCCCACACGCCTCTTTTTTTCTATAAAACAGAAAAACCCCTATTTCCCATGCCATTGCCCTTAAGTCGTAAGCTGCCATTCAGATAATGGAAAAAGCCAAACAAATTAGACTGCAGTTCCCAGAATAAGTAATTTGAAATCTCTGGCTTACCGTCGGATCTTGAAGAAACCATATCTGAATTAGAAAAACCAATGATGTCAGCAACACTAACCCTTCCCTGAAATAGATGATCGAAAAGCCCCTTTAAAATATACTTCAAAATAAAAGACAAAGCATGAAAGTCCTTCTACAAAGTACAAAGAGAAAACAACAAAAACAAGAGGAAGATTAAAATTACCTTGAAGACATGAAGCCCCTGCAAATTGACATTTTCCCCAGCATACTTGTAAGGGTGAGCAGCCTATCCAAAAACATACAGAAATACGTTGGGAAAAAGACTCACTGGCGCACGACAAAAAATGCAAACAGAATTTTCTCTAATAGTAGATTTATTGTTTTTTAATTTTGTATAGTTAATGTTAGATGCACTAAATCAGCCAACCTAATCTAAAGAAAGGTCTAGATCAGATGTATTATCACAAGGGTCTAGATCAAATGTATCAAAAAAAGGGTCTAGAATCAGATGTAGTAAAAGCTAAAATATCAACTTCCACAATTCCCAGTGTGAAGAGAAAGTAAATATAAAAAAAGCATAGAGAATCACACTCTCCAATAAAGAATAGAAAAATACCAAACAAGAATTTTGAATAAATGTGCCAGCTATAAAAATTAATTTCTTATAGTCCCTTTTTTTATAAAATTTTGAAATTCAACATCCAGGTCTAATTCGCAAATAATAGGATAAGAACAAGCCAATTTTCTCCACAATAAGTTTTCATTTCAATTTTCCTTGCTAAAAGTTTCAGCATTGCCCTTTATAGGTACTTGTTAAGTTAGTAACCAACAAACTACAAATTGAACTGCAGAGCCAAAGCATAGGTCAAACAAGTTTCCACATCATAAAAAAGACAACCAACCATAAAAAGGAAGCATGATATTAATCAGATGTTTATCGTTTTTGAAAGTTAACTTATGATTTTAATTCGAAACCGACCTAACAGAAAAATATAAAGCAAAGTGAACTCGCCCATCAAATGGACTAAACATAAGCGCATATCAATCAAACAAAAAACACATCCCCAAATTCAATTACATACCAAAAGCAGAATCCTGAATTCAGCAATATGGAAGAACCAGCAATTAATCACAAATAAAGGAAAACCCAAACTAAAACTAATCAAGTAAAGAAAAAAAATTCAACAATTACAGAGTCGTAATTCATGAATTGAAATGAAAAGTTTTTATACCTTTGAAGGAATAATCTCCACGGCTGGAGAAGGGAGATGGAGATCCCTATCAGCTATTGAAGTGAGACTATGGCTCCCCCTATCATGAGGCAACAGGCCTGGAAGGCATTGTGCAAGAAGAGAAGGTGCACGCATGGCTGACCAATGTATGTGACTGATGAAAAACCCTAGGAATAATGGAGAGCAAATCCTATTTCCTTTTGGGGAGGCAAGATTGGATTTTAATCTTGTGCCCCCCAACTGAACTTGCAGACCCAACCCCAGAACAAAATTTAGTTGATCTCTAAAAACAGAGGTAATTCAAGCCACAGCCCAGAAATTTGATCCTCTGAGATGGGGCAAGACCCAATAAATGCACACAAAGAACCCTAATTGACCTCTGGAGCCAAAGAAGATTTCCCCCGAAAACTGCAACCAATCTCAAGAATCCAATAATCCTAAAGAGCACCGGTGTTGAGAGTCAATGAAGACCTCAAAGTCCTAGCTCAAACCCTCACTAACCTTGAAAATTAGGTAAAAACTCTTATCAGTTAATTGTATTAAGAGTCCCAAATAACACCAGACAATTCTGTAGAGGATTGAAATTTTTCTCTTTCAGAACCATACAATACTCAAAAAATCCCAAAACCGAAAACCACAGATTAAGAAAAAGAAAAAAACCCTATGACGATCCAATTAAAATTCTAAGTCCTAACCGTTGCTAAGAGCGAGAAAAATACTGGAAAGAAAACCCAGAAAAAACTAAATAACTCCAAATGTTACTCAGAACCTCAAAAAACCCTGAAAATCTCCAAATAAATACAATAACCACCAAATTCCAATTCTAACTGCTCTTGCAAACCAGAAGAAGAGTTAAACCTTCTAGGATAATAACACGAGCTAATTCTCGAGCACAGAAGAGCAGTGAAGAATTAAGAAACCCAAAATCAAGCAGGTACAACAGAAGAGAAACCCAAGAATCACCAGATGGTTTGGGAGCCCAAAACCCTAGAATTCACAAGCGTTTAAAGCGTGTCCGCCATGACTGAAAAGTTCAGAGAAAGAGCAAACGGGCCGCCCTGTGACTTGCTGATCAGTCAACAGATAAAAGTAAACCCGGGGGAAGAATCTCCGAAGCCCCAAACACAGCAAAAACCAAAAAGCTTAGAGAGAGAAAATCAGAAAACTCAGGGAGATAGAGAATCGAAAAGCTCAGAGAAAATGGCAGCAAATCTTCGGCCATTTAAAGGAGATTACCGGGCCTCAGCACCGCTCTCCTGAGCTCATTTCCCCGTCTGAATTCCCTCTCTCTCTCTCTCTCTAAGCTGTCTTTCTTTCTCTCTCTAGGTCTCCTCCAAACTTTTTCATTTTCTCTCCATATCCCTGTCTTCTATAAAATGCCAAGTGAATTTTATTTGCTTATTTTAAAAAATAAGTATGCCATATCACATGGAATTGATTACTATGACATGATCTATCTTTGTTACGAAAGTAGTCACATTTAATCTTAATTATTAAATATTAAATTAGATGACATGAGACCTTTCACAAAATTTAAAAAAAACAACAAAATTAACTTTGTGTTTAATGAATGATCCGATATAAAATTTAATGGTTAAGAGTAATCGTGGCTTTCCTTTATGAAAAATAAATTGCTTCTTTATATACTTTTTCATGTCTTGCAGATTTTGCCAGATATATCATGGGTGCGCATATAATGCAATATAGACTTTTTTTTTTTTGTTAAGCACTAAATACTATAGACTATAATAATACAAAGTCACTAAAGACTAGCAATATGTGCTAAAAATAATGGGCTTATGTTATTAAATTCAACTGATACTTTTCATATACAAATGTCATAAACACTCTTTAAGTTGTTGTTTCTCGCACAATATCTGAGGAAATTGACTTTAGAGTTTGAACCGTAGTTATCAAGATCAGGTTGGATTCAAGTGCGACACTTAGACAACCAACTTGTGCCTTAGCCAGTGCCTTCTAAAGCAAAATCTTGGTTTAGTTAAAAAATACTCAAAATAAATATTTCATTGGTTTTGGCTAATTGAATTATGTTGCTTTTGACTAGTTCAACAAGCTAAACAATGTTGAAATAAAAATTCTAATATATTTCATACTTTTAAACTATTATTTTTATTTTACATATACTAATATAGTCCAACTAGTTCGATGATTGATTTTAATTGAACTATAATTAACATTGCAAATGAATTTACTAAGAACTTCACCATCTTTTCATTAGATGAGGTTAAAAAGTAATACAATGAAATATATTGGAGAGTGAATTGCTTCACTTGAGTTGGATACAAATCCCCATGACTTGAGCTAAAGAGGCCAGGCTCATAGGATCTCATAACGTTAGTTTCAACCCAAATAATGGCAATTCATTTCTTTAAATGTATTAAAAAATTTAAAACTAAAAAATATTTATGTTTTAAAAATTACTTATCAAATTACACCTTATTTATCAAATATTTAACATTTTATCTATTTTCAATTATTCACACGATCAAATAAATATATTTTTTAAGTTAAATAAAAATAATAAAATATTTAAAAAAATGATACTATACGACTCTCTTTTACCTATGTGTGTAGGACCTCAAATGATCACCATTAAATTTGATACGGATTTTTAAAAAAGTTAAATTCTACACCCATATAATAACTTTTTTAAAAATCCGTATCAACTTTAACGGTGATCGTTTAGAATCATACCCACATGAATGGAAAAAAGTCCGATCGTATCATTACTCAAATATTAGTAGATGGATCTTAAATAAATTTCTTAATAATTTCCAATGGGTGTTTTCGTCGTTATGGCAAAACCTAATGGTATGTGAGTAGATTTATTAAACTCTTTTTTACTAAAGAGAAAAGGAGGTTATTTAAGTGTGGACCCACATTGTCGGTTTTTATCTGCCTTCCCACGTGCGGCCCCTGTTTCTTGGCAGTTTTCATGGACCTATATTTAATTAAATTAATTGGATAATCTTTTTGGAAAAATCATTGTACCTTTTCAAGCTAATAACATCACTTTAAGAAACTTTTAAATACCAAATAACCAAGTAAGTACCAAGAAGTTTGTAGGAAACTCATCAATGACTGCACCATTTTTTATTTTTTTTCTTTCACCTTTTCCATACTTTCTACAGTGATTTTTTAAAACCTTTAAAAATATTGTAAAAAAGGTTATTTAAAGAGGCCCTATAATCAAGAGCAATGTTTCTTGATTTTTGATCCAGATTCTGATCCGGTCAAGTTGAATGGGTTCCGGGATGATATTGATCTCGACCATGTTCCTCCCTAAAATGCCCCTTTCATTTTATTTTTAATTTTTTAAGTTATTGAATGTTTTCCTAGGTCTCCAAAATCCCCACCTCTTAAATCTACATTTTATTTTTTATTTTTTAATATTTTTTGAATCATCGATTCAAAACGATCTGGACCAATCTCAGATGGAGCTAACCACTCTACCCCCGATCTAAGTTTGAAATAATAGTAAAGAGTATGAAAGTTTTTTGCAATGTTGTTTTTTTGTAGATTCACCAATATTGCTGAAAAATACATTCTTATTATTAGGAAACTTGCAAATTGATTATATAAAACTCGATAGTCATATATCTAAAAAGGAAAAGAATTTCAAACTCTAAAAATCGTCTATCATAGGATACTGCCTACGCCATGTTTGTAGCTTCAAATTTCTAAGACAAAAATAGATTTGCAGGTCATCACGAATATATCCAATATTGAACTTGCATTTTCTAATGAAATTTTGAAGTGCATCTTTATCTAATAGTAAAGCCCCGGCCCTAAAAAACCCCACCAATAAAAAAAATACATTTATTAGAAAAAACTTGTGCTTGGATAGATGATTTAGTCTTGGATTTATTATTTCTAGTAGGGGATGATCCCATGGTGAGTGAACTTTTGGTTGGCTAGTATTTGCATGTGTGGACCATATGGACCATAGTACCTAGTACTGTACCATTCATCTTTTGAGGTACTTCTTCACCTCCATTCCTAATTCAAATTCATGGCTGCATTCCAACTGCTTAATATAAGCATACAGTGTAGTACATGTATTGTACTTATCAAGGAATTACATACCATATTAGTGACATGAATGCAATAGTTTTGATATATTATTTATGAGCTTTTTTGCATGTCTCCTCTATAACTGTTTGTATATATGATCTCAATGCACCATTTTATCTAATTCATGATCCATTGGGAATCTGTATTCTTCATCTTTCATTCATGTCATCGCCCTTTGGGTCTGTTGAATTGACTTGGTGAGGCTATTCTTTTTCTCGCTAATTTCTTTCTTGCCATATGATCCAAATTAGACTAACCAGAAAAGCATTCTAAAGCTTATCCAAGAACTTGTTGAACTTCGACGTTTGAGTCGGTTGTGGCTCTGATGTTTGCGAGTCCCCTATGATCAATAAGAACCGTGTTCTAATTTTATTTTTCTCCCTCGAGCAAAATACCTACTTTGGATGATTTGTTTGACTACAATTTATGGATCCACTAAAAGTCCTTAAATATATAGACATACAAAAAATAAACATTTGATGTTCAATCAGTGTTACAATTTTTCCCACCACTTTTGAAATGTGTTTGTTTCCTAGAGGTTTCAGCTTCGAAAGTTGAACTTCCAAACCTGTAGCTTTTGCGGGGCCAAAGCTGCAACTTCTAGTTTTTTACCCATTTATGAAATCTATGCTAAAATGGTGGAAAAAATTGGAATTTTTGGCTTCCATTGTACCTAATGGAAACTGCCAGTTTCGAAGTTGGGCTTCCAAAACCCAAATTTATGGCAATCAAACATGCCCTTAGATTGTGTATTCAATTCTCTTTCTTTAGAATTGTCGCTAGTTTGTGTTTGGTCACATCCTCCTCCAAACTTGTCTTGAGAAACCTGCTAGCTAGTGTCATGGCTGAAGTAACACATGTACAATTTACTCCGGCGGGTTCAATAAACCTATGGATTTTTGTTTTCACTTTTTTAGAGTTGGCATCCGTAAATTCCATTGTGACCTTTTTGTGATTGGAAGAAGTTGGGTAGGTGAATGTAAATTTCTCTTTTAAATTTGGAAAATGGTTTGATAGGACTGCAGCCCTATCAAAATAAATAAAGTATCATCTCATAACTCATAGAAAACTGCAATTCAAGTATTACATACCTTTACATCGATCATTTTGGCTTTAACATTACGGTTATGAAAGAAGCAAAAGAGGATTTCAAGTTCTTAAAATAGTATATATTGTAATCAATTATTGAGATCGTCCATTTTGCCCTTAAAAATAAGTGTTTATAGATCAACAATACCATTTTTGAGCCACCATGGAAATTTCTATTGCTGAAAATGATTTCCGAACGAGGATTTGAGGTGAGGCTTTATTTTGTTTTCATAAAGCCTAGGCCTTAGAGAAACCTCATCGTTTAAATTCTCATTGACGAAATCAGGAAAAAGAGTGAAAGTAACCAATCAAAGAGTGAAGTGATAGAAGGGCAACCACCCTAGCCTTTAGAGAGAGGGGAATAATGTAGAGCCTATGCTTAGAGAGAGGGAGAGATTTTGAGTCCAAGCTTTTTGTATGGTCTAGAAAACCTAATATTTTATGTTTTTCAAAAATATACCATGAATATCTAACTTGTACCCCAGTTGTATATTTTGTAAACGTCGAGATGATCGATTTGAAAGTTCTTTAATACTTGACCAAATGTCGATATAATTAATTTGAAAGCTTTCTAATACTAAACCAGTATATTTTTTAAGCTAATATTAAAGATATTGACTACTTTTGAAGTTTGTCCTTTTATTAATGGTTGGATAAAGGGCTTACACGCACTTGCTTCATTAAGGCCCTAAGACTTTGGGATTTTGCTGAAAGCGAAAGTTAAAACAGATAGGAGAAAGCACGGTTGCACTACATTTAAGCCCTAAAACTGTTGGAATTTTCCCTTAAAGTATGAGGTTTAAAAAAAGAGAAACAGGGATCTACCACATTGCAATTGGTATGCATTGAAACCTTAAAATAGTGGTTATAGAACAGGACGGAATCTGTCAGTTTGGACTGCTAATCAAGTCCTAAATCATTTAGGTTCGATAAAAGTGGTATCTTAAGAAAAAATAGAAATCTTAATGTAATTTTGAGAAAATCATAAAATATTTTTTAATTTTGTTCAGTTTTCATCGATTTAATATATTTAATGACCAATCGAACCACTAACTAGATCGAACAAGATCTGGTCTTAATAACAATCGTTTGAAACGAACAACTTATTATCATCTGAATATC